GCGCACCCTTAGAGATAAGGTGAGGAGCTCAGAGTACAACCGCTGCTCCTCCACATCGAGAGGAACCAGCTGAGGTGGCTCGGGCATCTGTTTCGGATGCCTCCTGGGTGCCTTCCTAGGGAGGTGTTCCGGGCATGTCCCACCGGGAGGAGGCCCCGGGGAAGACCCAGGACACGCTGGAGGGACTATGTCTCTCGGCTGGCCTGGTAAAGCCTCCCCATTCCCCCAGAGCAGCTGGAGGAAGTGTCTGGAGAAAGGGAAGTCTGGGCATCTTTGCTTAGACTGCTGCCCCTGCGACCCGGTTCCAGATAAGCGGAGGAAAATGGATGGATGGATGGAAATTCAGAAATACTTTTATTGTTATAATCAAGCCATGCATGATGATGAAAGACGCATTCAGTTACAAAACAAAGCACAAAACAGTATTTTACTTTGCTTTTACTTTAAATTATAACTTGCTAAGTCTGTTTAAAACAAGTTAAGTCAAATAATGATAGATTTTTAATGGGTTGTCAGTGAGGCATTCTGACAAGTAACAGCCCCCCTGCAGCCTAAACTAATGCGATCAATCTTTTTAAAAAATGTGGACATTACACTTTATTTTACGTACATGAAATTATATTACTGGAATGGAAATTAGGGGCTGAATCTTAAATTTAATATGTTTCATTCCAAATAAAAAATAGATCAGATGGTGCCTGTTACAGCTGTAGCTGCTTAGTGTCAGTAAAAATGATACATCATTATTAAGCACTTGTATGAGCACTCTATGTCAAGTACTCAAATGTAGGTACTTGTACTTAGCTGAAACAAAGCTGGTCTCCATTCTTTTATTACTGGGTGAAGGAGTGATGAGGCTACCAAGGGGACCACCCTCCTGTTTGTGCTTTTGATTGTGGCCATTCCATCAAAAATACTAATCCCACTAATAATTTGTTTCTGCTTTCTGCATGTATCACCTCACCTGGAAAACAATGACAAAGGCTAGTCGGACAGCCAACACTGCCCAGAATTCCTTGGAGATCTCATATGGAGTGTCTGACCAAGGAGGTTCTCTGTAGTCCTTATACCTTTAAAGATAAAAATAATTATTTTTAATTTCATTTTCAATTCTGACATTTATTGATAAGCCAGCAACTGATTGTTTTCATCTTGGGAACGCACAAACAACACTTTACACAGGCATACATTTCATGTGTTTTTGGCATGTTTGGCTCTTCATGCTTTTATTGAGGTTGATTAAGTAAGGCCTCTTCCCGTTTGATGTACTTTTTTTTCACCAACTGTACATAACGCATTGTGCGCTGCTGCTGACAGTGGAATTCATGAAGCAGCTGTGTGAACTGAAAGAACCACACTTAGTGTCAGACTCACACAGTCCTGGCTTTGACAACCTACCATGAGCTCCATCATATACCTGGGACATCATCCTCCTGCTTAAAAGGAGTGCTGTACATGAGCACATTTTTCAATCTAGTAGCTGTGAGGTCATTTCTACTTATCTGCACAAATGCACAGGGGCATGAAAGCTACATAAACCTGACAGCTTATGATAATCAAGAAGTATTTTACTTTACGTGCTGTATAATTATGTTGATGCTTAAGCAGTAGCTGGCCCAACTAGCTTGTAATGGCAGTCACCTCTGAGAGCTGGGTCCGCTCAGTTGTCCAACCACTGACGTTATTCTCCCAAGAGTAAGAAGACTGTTAACAGTGAGTCTGTAACTATATTAACACCAGCACTAATACAGGTTTGGTGTGGGTGTAGGAGTGAAGGCAAGTCTACAGGGTCATCAGGTGGGCTTCTCTCGCACTGTTGAAATTATCATCATTTATACAAAACCTTGATGGAGCCAACAGGACAACGTCATCTGCAAAAAGCAGAGACGAGATCCTGTGGTCCCCAGACCGGACTCCCTCCAGCCCCTGGCTGCACCTAGAAATTCTGTCCATAAAAATAATGAACAGAACCAGTTACAAAGGGCAGCTCTGCCGGAGTCCAACGTGCACCGGGAATAAGTCTGACTTACTGCCGGCAATGTGAACCAAGCTCCTGCTCCGGTTGTACAGGGACCATATGGCTCTTAACAAAGGGCCCCGGACCCCGTGCTCCCAGAGCACCCCCCACAGGGCGCCGCGAGGGACACGGTCGAATGCCTTCTCCAGATCCACGAAACACATGTGGACTGGCTGGGCAAACCCTCCACCACCCTGAAGAGGGTATAGAGCGTGTCCAGTGTTCCATGGCCAGCATGAAAACCGCATTGTTCCTCCTGAATCCGAGGTTCGACTATTGGTCGAATTCTCCTCTCCAGTACCCTGGCATAGACTTTTCCGGGGAGGCTGAGGAGTGTGATCTCCCTATAGTTGGAACACACCCTCCAGTCCCCCTTCTTAAAAAGAGGGACCACCACCCCAGTTTGCTAGTCCCTGTCCCCAGCTGCCATATGATATTGCAGAGGCGTGTCAGCCAAAACAGCCCCACAACATCTAGAGACTTGAGGTACTCAGGGCGGATCTCATCCACCCCCGGTGCCTTGCCACCGAGAAGCTTCCCAACTACCTCATTGACATCAGCTTGGGTGATAGACGAGTCCACCTCCAAGCCCCCGGCCTCTGCTTCCTCAGCAAAAGACATGACACTGGGGTCGAGGAGATCCTCAAAGTATTCCTTCCACCGTCGGACAATATCCCCAGTCGAGGTCAACAACTGCCCACCTCCACTGTAAACAGTTTTGGCAGGGCACTACTTCCCCCTTCTGAGGCACCGGACGGTTGGCCAGAATTTCTTCGAGGCCGACCAAGAGTCCCTCTCCATGGCCTCACCGAACTCCTCCCAGACCCGAGTTTTTGCCTCCACAACCACCCGGGCTGCAGTCCGCTTGGCCTGCCGGTACCCGTCAGCTGCCTCAGGTTTCCCATGAGCCAACCAAGCTCAAAAGGACTCCTTCTTCAGCTTGACGGCATCCCTTACTTCCAGTGTCCAATCCGGGGATTGTTGCTGTGACAGGCACCAGAGACTTTACAGCGACAGCTCCAAGTGGCTGCATCAGCAATGGAGGTGGAGAACATGGTCCATTCGGACTCAATGTCTTCAGTCTCCCTCGGGATCTGGTCGAAGCTCTGCCGGAGGTGGGAGTTGAAGATCTCCCGTCGACATCTGGCCTAGGGTGTCCTGGTGTTATGTGCACTGGTGGACACCCTTATGCTTGAACATGGTGTTCATTATGGACAAACTGTGACTAGCACAGACGTCCAATAACAGAACACCGCTCGGGTTCAGATCAGGGGGGCCGTTCCTCCCAATCACACCCCTCCCAGTGTCACTGTCGTTGCCCACGTGAGCGTTGAAATCTTCCAGTAGAACAATGGAGTCCCCACTCAGAGCACTTTCCAACACCCCTCCAGACTCCAAGAAGGCTGGGTACTCTGCGCTGCCATTCGGCCCATAGGCACAAATGACAAATGAAGGCGCAGGGAAATGACCCTCTCGTTCACTGGGGTAAACTCCAACACATGGCAGCTAAGCTGGGGGGCTATAAGCAAGCCAGGACCTCCAGCGTGCACTGGGGCAGTTTGCAGCCGAGTGTGAAGTGGCTGGGATGAGAATCAGCACCTCCAAGTCCGAGGCTATGGTTCTCAGTCAGAAAAGGGTGGCTTGTTCCCTGCAGGTTGGTGGAGAGTTCCTGCCTCAAGTGGAAGAGTTTAAGTAT